TCAGCAGACTTTGGTCTTTCGTTTTGCGAAAAAAAATCGTAGCTGCGTCGTTCCGTAACGCAGGTCCGTATCGACGAAGACAAAGTACCCCCGAAAAACGGCTGTCATCGGTACCTTTGAGGCGCTCAAAGTTTACTTTTTCGAAATTTGACGGTAATTCTAACGGTCAGAATCGTTTCCTCAGCTCATTATCGTTATATTTCGATAGCTGTATAATTTTTACTCGCTCACGTAAATTACGGCACTGCTATGATGATGATCTAATATGTAGAGTTGCTTAGGTTTGCACTTTTCAATTCCTTTGTTCTAGCGTATGTTATAAGTAAGAGATGCATGTAAACCAAGGTGACCAGTACTCATTCGTCTTCTGTTAAATAAAGTCGCTTTTTTAAAAAGTCGTTCGTTGTTTGCACATTCTTAATTCGTACGGTAGTAATTAGCGACGACAGAGCCGGATGACAAAGTGACGCTTTCACGCGTGGAAATGTAGCGTATTGTCGAGGAATTTTGAAAAAATCGAAACTTTCGAACGACAAGGGATAGAGGAAAAAAAAGTCACTATCTTTGAATCCGATGTCCGGGCTTTCTCATGCAAAAATCGTCAGGTTCGTAGCTCCTTTATCTTCGGAGGAGATCGAAAAAGCACGTCGAACACCCTGTATAATATGATACTTGTACGATACGGTATAATGATCAGAGACCTTTAAGCCTAATCTCGCGTGTCCGACCAAATGGAACTACTTCATTCAGGCCCCTTTCAACAGGACTCTTGAAGGTCGAGTTCGATATTAAAAGTGACTCATCCGCATTTTCTTTATTTGATGATGCCCGTCGAAGATAAGGGTCGCGCAGGGCCATAACCGCCACTGCGGGATATTATTTTGAATTAGATTGAGCCAGCCGGTCGGAGTAAATATAAGGCCCTCGGCGTTGTGAAGGGCCGTTAATCAATTAGATGGCACGCGTAGGGAACGTGGTGCTTTTAAGAGACGAAGCGGGCGGGCCGGTGTGTGTATTGACGCTGTATTTTCATGGTGGTAAGATTTTTGAAATACTGCTGAAGGACGAGCTCAGTTATCAACTTGAGTCAAACCACCTTTAGAACAACAGCCAATCTGGATTTAGACGCAGAGCTCATATCAGCTACTTCAGCAATTAATGACTCGTTAACGAAGGCTTTTAAAGCCGTTCGCATATCAAAGCAGACCTTTTCGATTTGTCAAAGGCTTTCGACTGGGTTCAGCATACTATTTTATCGAAAATAATACCATTTTTCCACATTCATCCTGGTAGCACTAAGATTATACAGGGCGATTCATAAGATGTGACCTAAATGAAACTTCGTACACAGGACCGCACCTTAAGGGAAGCCTCATATGTAACATTTTTTCCTCAAGCGCTTCATTGAAAAGATACGAGGTGTTGAAGTTTCCCAAATAAAAATAGTAAGCCACTGTTTTTTTTCGAATTTTACCTTCAATTTGCCACAAATATCTACTCCTGTGTTTATTCCTAGAGTGCATTGTTTTCGTGAAAATGAAAAAAACAAATTAGATAATCGATGCTTTATTTCAATAAATGTTCAAAATACCACCGTTCTGACTGACACAAGTGCGGCACCTTTTTAATACAGAAAAATGTATACTAAGTGACATATAAATCCGAACACCCAGTTTAAATCTTTTATAAAAGTTGGTGAATGTATTTTCATCATTTTTTATTTTTTTCCCTGCCTGTTAATTGGATCACTCTGTTCAGGCAGTGTACGGATTATTATGAATATAAAAATATAAATATAAAGTCCAAAAAACGTAACGAAGTAGCAGGATATACAGAGCAAGTACAAATTATAGAAACTTAGATTTGAATTCTACAAAGCCTATGACTGCTTTTCATATATTTCTCATCAACTTAATTTTAAAGAGAACCCCTACAAATGCGTCTGATGCGTATGGGCATTAATTATCCCATGACGACCCACATGAGAAACGTTCTGACATGGCCCTTTATATTAATAAACTTCCCCCATTCAGGTGTCAGCTCTAAAGCGGTCTTTTGAATGTAATTTCATTAACACGTATCATCCTAATGAAAAACCCTGGAGCGTTATTCCTACTGTCTAGCGAATAACGCTTTCAAGTCATAAGCGCCCCAAAATTTTACTGCACTCATCTCGAAAATGAGATACTATGTTTTTTGATGTTAAGTGACATCACAAAAGAATAATATTATAATTCACACATACACAAATAAGACGCAAATAAAGGACCTGGACCAGATGGTGTACCTCCGTCGTTGATTAAACGCTGTAGCTATTTTATATTTTTAATCTTTCGTTGAAAAGTGGAACTTTGGAATGTTGGAAACAAGCTTCATTACTCCAATACTGAAATCTGGAGATCGTTCACAAGTCAAAAATTATTGACTTTCAATCCGCGGGGACGTATAGCATCTTCTCGCATAAATATAACGTCGAGAACCGACGTAGCCGTAATCTACGACGTTGCAACACGACTACATTTTTTCTTTCTTCTTTTGGGAGAAGCGACCTTCCTTTTCGGCGATGTTGCAGCCTTCGCCGTTTTCTGTTTTGGTGCTTTCGGCTTCTTGGTCGGAGCTCCCTTGCTGGATTTCTTCGCCATCGAAGGAGATTTTTTTGCAGGCGCAGAAGAAGCTTTAGCCGACGTCGCCTATTTCCCACTTTTCTCGGCCGCACCACCGGCCTCCACCGGTTTCTTAGCCTTCGGAGATGCCTTCTTCGTCGATTCCGCACCGCTAGCCCTCTTAGCTACGGTTCCGCTCTTCTTTGAGCCGGTCGCGGATTTCTTCTTCTTTTCGCCAACCTTTGCGGCTGATGATGATGAAGTTTTCGACGCTCCGCCAGCCGATGACGAAGCTAGCTTGAACGATCCGGAAGCTCCTTTGCCTTTCGTCTGTACTAAAGCTCCAGACGCGACGGACGATTTTAAGTACACTGAGTTGTATTGGAATGGTTTTTGAGAGCCTAGTGTGTGAATCTTTATCCGCAAATTTGTAGTAGTAGTTTTATAAGTCAACAGTCTGGATTTCTTTAAAAACGCTCCACAAAGTTAAATCTTTTAATATTCACAAACTATGTTTTGGAATCCTTGGAGGAAGGTTATTATATTCACGTAGTTTATACCGATTTTTCTGAAGCATTCGATAATGTCAACCATGAGATTTTTTTAATAAGTTACATTGTCTAGGAATTTACGGGGATCCTTTATCATGGCTGAAGTCTTACCTCACTGATCGAAAACAAATAGTGCGTATACAAAGCTTCCAATCAAATGAGATTAATGTGCCATCTGGAGTACCTCAAGGTTCCCATCTGGGTCCTCTTCTTTTCAATATATACGTGAATGATATTATATACAGTTTTAAGTCTGTTATTTATTATATATTATCATATAAATATGATTGTTTCTAAATTTCTTCAACTGTTGGGATTTATAAAACGATGTGCTAAGGATTCTCATAATATTCAGTCATTTAAAACGTTGTTTTGTTCTTTGCTGAGGCCCCAACTGGAGTACTGTTCATGTGTTTGGTCACCCAACTATAGTGTTCATATTCAGGCAATTGAGAGAGTGCAACATAAATTCTTAAGATTAATTTCATTCAAACAAAACATTATGGCTGAAGATATTATCTATTCCGTCATCGGAAGCTCTCTCAATATCTCAACCCTTCAGGTAAGACAAAATCAGAGGGACCTGTCACTATTTTATAATATTTTGCACTCTCTTAATTTTGCTCCAGAACTTTTAAAAAATATTAATCTTCATGTGCCTTCTCGTCAACCATTCCATGTCAGATCATCTCGTACTAATTATGCTATTAATTCCTTCCTGTCTAGATCTTCAGAAGTCAGAAAACATTAAAAATTCAATTGATTCCTGTGTGTAATATCTAATATTAGATTTCCCCATATATTTTAATTTTAATTAAATTCTTTTCAATTTAGAAACGATCTGGATTGTGAAGTGTTTGTGATTGGTCTAAGTGTTGTGTACAAAAAATGTGTCTTTTGCGTTTACTGCATGTCCGCCCCTCCAAACAACCAGAAACCCGAAGAACACGTGCTCGAATCGAATCCACAATCAAAAGTATTCTCAGATGATATTTATCTTTGCAGTTAGCAAATGCGAGAAAGAGGACGTATTCCGCTAAAACTTTCATCCAGACCGCGTAAAGTCTATTTAATTCAGATTCGCACTTAAACTTTCTATGTAGAAAAAATGCCCAGAGCACTTTTCTGCTGAAGTTCTGTTGGGGTTCCCAGCAGCGCTGCCTTCGGTGCGGTGCTGGTCAGCCCTTGTTTTGCGGCCTTAATTTCAATTCGTTCATTAGAATACCTAGCGTGAGACGAACAGCTCCAGGCATCCTCAATATAAAGTTAGCGTTTAGTGGTAGGCTAGTTCTCTCTATACAAGGTCTATCAGCAGTGAAGGATATATCACCATCAAGCTTCAAAGACATTTTTTGAACCTTTTTGATACATGTTATATAAATATTGTAAGTTGGGTTCCATACTAGACTAGATTAGAATACAATAGAGTTAGTACCGACAGATCAGTAAGAAACTTGCAGTTTCTTATGATAAAACCATTATGATCGAAAAGCATCCATAACAATTTGATTAACGTATGAAATTAAGGTTAACTGACCGTCAAAGCAAACGCCTAGATCTCTTATTGAGTCAGTTCTCTTAATATGAACAATTACCGAAGGATTACTGTATATTAAAAAAGTTCATATGTAATTTTTGATGACGAATAATGTGTGTCCGCCGTGTACCATTGCAAGAAAAATAGCGGTATAATCAAAATACATTTTTGTCTTAATACGTGATAAATGGATAATGTTAAATTGGTATTCCCAGTGCATTGCGTAAGCACGATGATAGGTATCGGCATCAAACTGCAAGAAAACGCGCTGATAATTTGCTAATGGTGCACAAGAGTGATTTTTGCATATGACGACTTATCGGCTTCTTATCAGGATCATACTATTCAGTACTGGTTTTCCGAGCACTTCAAACGTGAAAATGTGTAAAATAAATTTGTATATTTTGGCTATCGCCTTAACAGTGAGCCATGGGGAAGATATACCACAAAGTGAAATAGAATTAGGTATGTAGAATCTCTAGAAATATAAGTACCAGACAATTTGAATATGAGCTTTTAGACTTTTAGACATTTCTCCATCTTAAGATATACGTTTTCGTAATAATAGTCAATTATCACGTAATTTTCTATAAGTAAAGGTTGAAATTATGTGTTCAAGAATGTGGCAATCGCACAATCCATGGACCCAAGTTGCCGCTAGTGAAGAACGGAGATACCTTGTACTACTATGGATTCATGTTGCAGGTAAGGTATTTCTTCATTACTTAATATACATAAAAAGGTTCCAAAGAATCGAATTGAAAATAGTGATGAGGTTCAAATTGCACTTTAATTTCTGAGATAGACCAGCTCAAGCCAAGCAAGGGTGTAATTCTTAGACAGTTTAAATACCTAAACACATTTTTTTCTAGCTTTTTTCTATACCGACACACCTATTAAGGCGTGGTAATTTTGTGGTCTGAATAATAATAAACACTGGTTTGTCAATGTCTAGCATTCAATTTTCTTAAAAAAGCTGTATGGGTTTAGTCATAATCGCTTATCATTCAAAAGTTCCTTCTTTACAAATAGGCGGTAATACGCTAGCTACCAGAACTGTACAACCAAGACAGAAGTTATTAAGCATGGAGTACTGCAAGGCACAGTTTTAGGGCCTGTTTTCTTTTTAATATATATTAATGACCTACCGAACATCGACAACAAATTCATACCTTTTTCTGATGATACCACAACCATATCCTACAACAAAAACCTCCAACAATTGACAATAGATTCTCAGCAACATTTGTGTATCATTTGTTGTATTTGTTTTTTATACGTTATTTGTCATTTATTTTCTATATCATTTAGCTTTAATATTCATGATTTGTGTAAGCACATTTTGTAGACGATCGAGATTGAATATTTCTGTCGTCAGAACTGGTAGGGTGAGATGTTTTATTATGGATAGCATTCCAAGCAGATATTTGGAAGTTTTATACAAATTCGTCTTTGTCCACAGCTGACGTCTTTTCCGGATTTTATGGCCTTTTCACGACCCTATAGAATACCTCGCAAACAAGCACAATAGCTATATCATAGACTGTTCGTGATGCCTTTAATATTGCCCACAAAAGAAAATCGGTGTAATAATACGGAAATCACTGATGGGTGGATGTTATTTCCTGCGAAAAAAGTAGTTTAGCCTGCTACTGGTTACAATTGAAGACACAAGTCGATAAATGTGTCATCTAAAATTGTTTTAACAGTTGTTTTTTTGTATTAAACTAACCTTAATAATAATTCTTTCATTCTGTGATTCTTTTGTTGCAAGTGCAAAATAAGTAACTAATTAAACTAAAGTATTTAAGATATCAATAAAGTAAACAGTCCCGATATAACGTGTTTAAAGTCACTTTTCTCCATACAATGACATGACACATTTACCCTGTGTCTTCAATTGCAGCTTTTCCAAGGCATATCCATAAAATTAAGTAGCCTAGTTAGTCTCTCCAATGATGATTAAATTATTTCGATAATATACACTGTCATGTGCAACGATAGGTTTACGTACAATTGAAACACTCGAATATTTGTCTATGTGGTGTATTGACTAGATCTCCACCCGGAGCCAAGCACGGACTTTTGCTATTCTCGAATATTTCTTCTGTGCCTCCGGTCTTCTGTTATTACACTTCCAAGGCAGATAAACTTTCTATATTTTCAATCTATGAGTTGTTTGTAGTGAGAGGTGGTCTCATGGATTTTGCTTTCCATATATTGATCTTCAGACCAATTTTATTGGCTTCAGTTAAGAGTTGGAGACAACATCTTGCCTTAAGAGGCATGCATCTTCGGAATATTCTAGATCGCTTAGACAAGAGGTCAATGACCATTGTCTTCCTCCTACTTAGGCGTCTAATTGGATTGAAATAATTTCAGGCATCTACCTCAATGGCACAAGCGTACTGCCATAGGCTGAATATGAAGCTATTGAGTATAGAAACAAAAGAAGAAGAGGACTTCCTTCGGAAGAGCGTATTGATTCACCGTAAGTATTCATAATCAATTATTTATACAATACTGCATGGACGGAGGATTGTGGTTCGATTTTGAATCCCTTCAAAAATGTTCTGAAAGCCTCCGAACAGTCAAAGACGAAGTTTGAGCGATTTTTCTTCTTTTTGATGTTTTTCTTCGCAGCCACTAGACCATTTTTCAAAAACGACAAAGCTTTTACATTCTTGGCACAGTAGTAACCTTTTGTAGTAGTTCCGTCTAAGCTCAAGCAGTACTGTCCTAGTTATAGACGAAGACATAAATGTTCATGTTGTCTGGCTGACCTCAAGAAGGTATCAAATTTTTGCTGGCAGGGTCATCGTGACATTCATCCTCCTCTACTGAAAGTAGATGTTTTTCACGTGCCCACTTGAATTCCGTAATGTCTGCGGACATTAGAAATCTCCGCACACCTTGCACCCTACTCCTTAGGGACAGTCCAAAACGAGAAGCCTCAGATGACGACGATGATATTGAAAATGGTAATGAGTTGGAAATATTGCTCCCCTATAATGAGAGATATAGTGGACGGATGTCCATAACTTGCACATCACATTAAATGATCCGTTGAAACACTTACAGACAGAACTCATTGATTCAAAGAGATTCATGTCAGAACATGCGGCACTGTGTTCCGCATCAATACTCAAGACGAGGAGCATCAGATGACGACGATGGCGATGAAAATACTAACGAGATTGACATATTGCTTCCCTATAATCCTCGGACGGTGTACCTAGTAGCTCGCCAATGCGCGAATTGGAAGGCCAGAGCTCCAAAGAATGCAGCGAAAAGTACTCTGTCACGGTGCATTGATCAGCACCACTCACAGAAATGATGCTAGGAAAACCGGTACCCGGAAGTCTTCTCGGAAGAGCAGACTGGTTGTATCTACTGAAGAGAAGGAATTGTGTTGGATTGCGAACTCCGGGACCGGGATGAGTTGCGAATTGCACTGCTTATGCATGTGATGATAGCGGAAAAAACTCTAAAACAGCAGACAGGAGAGACATATATCTAGCAGGCGCCGATTAAGATTGTACTAAGCCTCGTTCCACTGATAGGATGCAGAAAAGTCTTAAGAACGCAGGAGACGATGAGCTATTCCTAAAAGAAGCGTACAAATAGCTCTTCCTTCAGTCCCGGACCAACTTGACGAAAGGCTAGGCATAGAGGAAAAAATGAAAGTTCCAACATATACACATACATATACTAAGTGACATATACATCCGAACACCCAGTTTAAATGGTTTTATTTTAATAAAAGTTGGTGAATGTATTTATCTTACTGTAAATAACAAGTGAACAAATTTCAGAGACCTAATGGCATGCGAAGTGTTTACCGACGAATGAGAAGTTTTGGCTTGTTTTCATACCGGCCACACTGGGTCCTCCCATTAACTCGAGAACACCGACGTAATCGCCTTGAGTGGTGCAGACAACGGTCACTCTCGGATCAGGAATGGAACAGTATTGTCTGTGACGAGTCTCGATTTTGTTTAGGCATGCACGATGGTCGTGCCAGGGTTAGAAGGCGACGTGGTGAAAGGAGTAATCCACAGTTTTTTGTTGAAAGACATGTTCATCACACTGTTGGAGTTATGGTTTGGGGTTCTATAGCTTATGGTTCCAGGTCACCTTTAATCTTCATCAGAGGTAACATGATCGCGCAGCGTTATATCCACGAAGTTCTAGAACCCTATCTTCTACCCTATCTTGACACCCTGGCAGATCCAACTTTCCCACAAGATAATGCCCGACCACATGTTGCAAGAGTCACAATAGACTTCTTTCAACATAATCATGTCACATTGTTACCATGGCCACCAAGATCTCCCGACTTATCCCCAATTGAGCACGTGTGGGATATGATGGGTAGGAGATTGCTCAATTTGCAACGTCCTCCTCAGACTCTAGAAGCACTTCGAGAGGAGTTGGTGGTTGCCTGGAATGAGATACCACAGGAGGACATTGACCACCTAATCAGAAGCATGCCTAGGCGCGTTGGAGAATGCGTAGCACATCAGGGTACATCCACACATTATTAAAGGTCAAAGGGCTTGAAAGCAGTGCAATCATTTTGAAATTTTTATCATTTACTTATTATGCTTCATTAAGTACTTATACAAAATTTTATTAAAATAAAACCATTTAAACTGGGTGTTCGGATTTATATGTCACTTAGTATATATATATATATATATATATATATATATATATATATATATATGGTGGGAAAAATCTCTCCAGGAGACACAATCAAGAACCTAAATAAGTTAGGTATCTCCGAGAAGAATGTACTTGCAACTTTGTCGTTAATAGTACTTCGTGGTTCCGTTGAAATGTTCACAACTTGAAATGTACAGCTTCATAAGTAACCCAGAAGATCTGTGGGAGAACCCCTGGCAATGTAGCACTGTAGCTCTCGTTTGTTTTAGATGTGATGTCTATTTTATGCTTATATTTACATATATATTTATTTATTCAATTCAACATGTGGTGTCCGCCTTCGGATATTTTTAATCTGTTCTCATCTCACCGTATTGGGGATCCGCCCTCATAAAGAGTCCTCCTCAGGCAAAGTTGACCTAACTTTTCCAACTTAGGTCAGGGTTCTGGCAAATAACTGCGTTTTCCCTCCTGTGAGTGCTCAGGTTGTGATCTAAGATGAACCCACCTTCGTATCACAGAAAGTTATGTAAAATGAATAGATGCTGAAATTTAAGATCTTCGGAATTGTTCTTGCCCGTCAAGGGGGTTGATTGCATTTTTTCCGTGTCTTCAAAAATATATCATCCTGATTGGGAAATGTTTTATTTTCAGTTGACGGTGATACGGATTTTATCATACGAACATCGGGAAAGAGGCTCATCGGACACCGGTGGACTTGGGAAGAAACTGGAAAGCAAATTCAGTATACCAACTGGGGTGAATCGGAACCGAATAATTTGGGAGGGCATGAGGACTGCCTCGTGTTACTCAATAAGCGCAACGGTGTGAATCCGAAATGGCACTGGAACGACGATAATTGCCATACACCCTATTATTTTATTTGCGAGTATTCGCTGGCAGAGATTCAGCCTCGAACGTCGGAAGATGATATAGTATGGCCTCAAGCTAGAGTCGCTAAATAAATGCTTGTTAATCATATAACTACAATATGTGCTTCTGCATCACTTGATATATGCTTGTTCTGTTTGCTTACTTAATAAAATATAAAGTACTGAATACAAATATTAGTTAGTCATTCATTAAACGCACATCGTTTTTGTTGAGAAAGTCAGAACCACCTCGAATATATTTGTTAGTTTTCTAACCGGTTCCCTCTCCCAGTTTAGGTGATCAATTGACGCCTTCCCAAAAAGTATTGCAGAACTGTGGGTGTCTTCGCTCCAAAGTAAATAGTCCCTTCAACTCCTATCGAGATATTGATTCGCGTTTTTCAAACCGAAAGCGTTGGAAGGGTGGGAAACGACGAGCAATCAGTCCTTAGCTATTGCTCTTCATATTCTGAGTAAAATCGTCACGAGTTACCAATTTGTAAGTCTTTACTCGTGCCAGCATGCGAGCAAGCAAGACAATAGCCGAAGCGATTAACGAGTCATAAAGAAATTTTCTCTATAACCGGTCTATTAGCCCTCCTTCAAAAGAGTATTTTGAAAAACGACTATTCTTGCATTGTAATCGAGATCTTTCTGCGATCTGTTTTACCATGCAAGTTCCTAGTGTTGAGCCAATGGGGCAGGTCACTCTGCAGACACTGATTGATATCAGGAAATATGCAGAGGGGATCAACCCCGGGGTGAGTAGCCGTGTAACGGCAGCGGACTATGAGTCAATCATAGTCTCCACCGTACAGCATCTCGGCGGCTTATGCCTGAGACGCGTAAATTACACGCCCCCCGCCTCCTTGGTTGAGGAGCTGTCAGAGACAGTCGGATCCCTTTCGAGGGCTTGTTCCGACTTGCCTTCTGCCGCTCCCGTACCTGCGAAGAAATCTTCGCAGGCACACGCCAAGCAGACGAAAAAGACTACTGCCTCCCTTCCTCTAAAATCGGGTAGGAAGGCTAAGTCTTCCGGCAAACCAGGATCGACGGGCTCGAAACCCGCCGTCTCTGGGGAAGGCTCTGGGCACCAGCACCCAGCTTCGACGAAGGGCCTGAGAAACCAGGTTCTACGTAATGCTCTAAGAGCATCCCGTACCTGGGGACCCATCCTAAAATATTTAGGATTGGGCTAGTCAGACGTTCGTCGTTGTATTGCGGAAATCCCGCTAAAGCGACTAGAGGCGCAGGATAAATCAATCCCGCCTCTCCTGCGCACTGGTGTGATCACAGGTGATCACATCAAGCGCTTAGAGGAGGAGAAGAGCCTCTGGGCTCAGGAAGTCGAGGACGCCGAGGTGCTAGTGCACCTCGAGCGTCGGGTGCTGGCCGCCAAGGCAGCGTGGAACAGGCATTTTGCCCCCACGACTGCCGAAGGCACACCGACGGCAGCAGTGCTGCCCGGTTACCAGTCCGCCTCCTGGGTTCCAAAGACCCCGTCGGAAGCTTTTTCCGACCCTCCTGCAGGAGCGCGTCTTGCTAAAATTAGCAAGGCTCGCGCAGTCACTCCACGACAGGGAGAGGCAAAAGGCAACAGTAGTGAACTGTCAAGCAAAGATAAGGATCAACCTTCATGTAAAGCCATATAACCTGGAATAGTCAGAACAACCAACAGTCATTTGATATCATAGTAGTGTCAGTGGGCGAACCTCTTACCATGATTATACCAAAAGATCTGTTTCTGCTGGATGACCAAGACTATTTGCAGTTCCCGAACAAAGAGGAAAAGAGGTCGCTTTCGCTGATGAGACAGACTACTGCCTCCCTTCCTCTAAAATCGGGTAGGAAGGCTAAGTCTTCCGGCAAACCAGGATCGACGGGCTCGAAACCCGCCGTCTCTGGGGAAGGCTCTGGGCACCAGGACCCAGCTTCGACGAAGGGCCTGAGAAACCAGGTTCTACGTAATGCTCTAAGAGCATCCCGTGCCTGGGGACCCATCCTAAAATATTTAGGATTGGGCGAGTCAGACGTTCGTCGTTGTATTGCGGAAATCCCGCTAAAGCGACTAGAGGCGCAGGATAAATCAATCCCGCCTCTCCTGCACACTGGTGTGATCACAGGTGATCACATCAAGCGCTTAGAGGAGGAGAAGAGCCTCTGGGCTCAGGAAGTCGAGGACGCCGAGGTGCTAGTGCACCTCGAGCGTTGGGTGCTGGCCGCCAAGGCAGCGTGGAACAGGCATTTTGCCCCCACGACTGCCGAAGGCACACCGACGGCAGCAGTGCTGCCCGGTTACCAGTCCGCCTCCTGGGTTCCAAAGACCCCGTCGGAAGCTTTTTCCGACCCTCCTGCAGGAGCGCGTCTTGCTAAAATTAGCAAGGCTCGCGCAGTCACTCCACGACAGGGAGAGGCAAAAGGCAACAGTAGTGAACTGTCAAGCAAAGATAAGGATCAACCTTCATGTAAAGTCATATAACCTGGAATAGTCAGAACAACCAACAGTCATTTGATATCATAGTAGTGTCAGTGGGCGAACCTCTTACCATGATTATACCAAAAGATCTGTTTCTGCTGGGTGACCAAGACTATTTGCAGTTCCCGAACAAAGAGGAAAAGAGGCCGGTTTGGCTGATGAGACAAAGGCATCAGTAGTCAACTATCAAGCAAGGATTAGGATCAACCTTCACGTAAAGCCATATAACCTGGCATAGTCAGAACAACCAACAGTCATTTGATTTCATAGTAGTGACAGTGAACGAACCTTTTGCTATGATTCTATCAAGAGATCTGTTTCTGCTGGGTGACCAAGACTATTTGCAGTTCCCAAACAAGGAGGAAAAGAGGCCGGTTTGGCTGATGAGACAAAGGCATCAGTAGTCAACTATCAAGCAAGGATTAGGATCAACCTTCACGTAAAGCCATATAACCTGGCATAGTCAGAACAACCAACAGTCATTTGATATCATAGTAGTGTCAGTGGGCGAACCTCTTACCATGATTATATCAAAAGATCTGTTTTTGCTGGGTGACCAAGACTATTTGCAGTTCCCGAACAAAGAGGAAAAGAGGCCGCTTTCGCTGATGAGACAAAAGCAACAGTAGTCAACTATCAAGCAAGGATAAGGATCAACCTTCATGTAAAGCCATATAACCTGGCATAGTCAGAACAACCAACAGTCATTTGATTTCATAGTAGTGACAGTGAACGAACCTTTTGCTATGATTCTATCAAAAGATCTGTTTCTGCTGGGTGACCAAGACTATTTGCAGTTCCCGAACAAGGAGGAAAAGAGGCCGGTTTGGCTGCTGAGACAAAGGCATCAGTAGTCAACTATCAAGCAAGGATAAGGATCAACCTCCATGTAAAGCCATATAACCTGGCATAGTCAGAACAACCAACAGTCATTTGATTTCATAGTAGTGACAGTGAACGAACCTTTTGCTATGATTCTATCAAAAGATCTGTTTCTGCTGGGTGACCAAGACTATTTGCAGTTCCCGAACAAGGAGGAAAAGAGGCCGGTTTGGCTGATGAGACAAAGGCATCAGCAGTCAACTATCAAGCAAGGATAAGGATCAACCTCCATGTAAAGCCATATAACCTGGCATAGTCAGAACAACCAACAGTCATTTGATTTCATAGTAGTGACAGTGAACGAACCTTTTGCTATGATTCTATCAAAAGATCTGTTTCTGCTGGGTGACCAAGACTATTTGCAGTTCCCGAACAAGGAGGAAAAGAGGCCGGTTTGGCTGATGAGACAAAGGCATCAGTAGTCAACTATCAAGCAAGGATAAGGATCAACCTTCACGTAAAGCCATATAACCTGGCATAGTCAGAACAACCAACAGTCATTTGATATCATAGTAGTGTCAGTGGGCGAACCTCTTACCATGATTATATCAAAAGATCTGTTTTTGCTGGGTGACCAAGACTATTTGCAGTTCCCGAACAAAGAGGAAAAGAGGCCGCTTTCGCTGATGAGACAAAAGCAACAGTAGTCAACTATCAAGCAAGGATAAGGATCAACCTTCATGTAAAGCCATATAACCTGGCATAGTCAGAACAACCAACAGTCATTTGATTTCATAGTAGTGACAGTGAACGAACCTTTTGCTATGATTCTATCAAAAGATCTGTTTCTGCTGGGTGACCAAGACTATTTGCAGTTCCCGAACAAAGAGGAAAAGAGGCCGGTTTGGCTGATGAGACAAAGGCATCAGTAGTCAACTATCAAGCAAGGATTAGGATCAACCTTCACGTAAAGCCATATAACCTGGCATAGTCAGAACAACCAACAGTCATTTGATTTCATAGTAGTGACAGTGAACGAACCTTTTGCTATGATTCTATCAAGAGATCTGTTTCTGCTGGGTGACCAAGACTATTTGCAGTTCCCAAACAAGGAGGAAAAGAGGCCGGTTTGGCTGATGAGACAAAGGCATCAGTAGTCAACTATCAAGCAAGGATCAGGATCAACCTTCACGTAAAGCCATATAACCTGGCATAGTCAGAACAACCAACAGTCATTTGATATCATAGTAGTGTCAGTGGGCGAACCTCTTACCATGATTATATCAAAAGATCTGTTTTTGCTGGGTGACCAAGACTATTTGCAGTTCCCGAACAAAGAGGAAAAGAGGCCGCTTTCGCTGATGAGACAAAAGCAACAGTAGTCAACTATCAAGCAAGGATAAGGATCAACCTTCATGTAAAGCCATATAACCTGGCATAGTCAGAACAACCAACAGTCATTTGATTTCATAGTAGTGACAGTGAACGAACCTTTTGCTATGATTCTATCAAAAGATCTGTTTCTGCTGGGTGACCAAGACTATTTGCAGTTCCCGAACAAGGAGGAAAAGAGGCCGGTTTGGCTGCTGAGACAAAGGCATCAGTAGTCAACTATCAAGCAAGGATAAGGATCAACCTCCATGTAAAGCCATATAACCTGGCATAGTCAGAACAACCAACAGTCATTTGATTTCATAGTAGTGACAGTGAACGAACCTTTTGCTATGATTCTATCAAAAGATCTGTTTCTGCTGGGTGACCAAGACTATTTGCAGTTCCCGAACAAGGAGGAAAAGAGGCCGGTTTGGCTGATGAGACAAAGGCATCAGCAGTCAACTATCAAGCAAGGATAAGGATCAACCTCCATGTAAAGCCATATAACCTG